ACGCACGCACGCACAGCCACAGAGTAGTCAGGAAGTGGAATAGTTTGGGAAGCGATGTAGTGGAGGCAGGATCCATACATAGCTTTAAGCAGAGGTACGATAACGCTCATGGTTCAGGGAGAGTGACCTAGTAGCGACCAGTGAAGAGGCGGGGCCAGGAGCTTGGACTCGACCCCTGCAACCTCAACTAGGTGAGTACAACTAGGTGAGTACAGGAGTATTTCTTCAGTCATAGTCGTCGGGAAGTGGAATAGCCTAGCAAGTGAAGTAGTGGAGGCAGGAACCATAAGAAGAGGTATGGTAAAGCTCAGGAAGCAGAGAGAGAGAGGACCTAGTAGCAATCAGTGAAGAGGCGGGGCCAGGAGCTGAGTCTCGACCCCTGCAACCACAATTAGGTGAGTACAATTAGGTGAGTACACACACACACACACACACACACACACACGCACGCGCACACACGCACACACACACGCACACACGCGCACACACGCGCACACACGCACACACACACGCACACACACGCACACACACACGCACACACACACGCACACACACCACCACACACACAGCGCACACGCACATATATATTATATATATATATGTTTGTTTTTTGTAGTGTGTGTGTGTGTGTGTGTGTGTGTGTGTGTGTGTGTGTGTGTGTGTGTGTATGTGTGTGTATGTATATATATATTATACCTAGAGAGGGTTTCGGGGATCAACGCCCCCGCTGCCCGGTCTGTGACCAGGCCTCATATGAACATAGTATATAAATTCGTTGGATTTATTTTCACTTCCGCTTATTACCCCATCATTGGTATTTGTCTAAGGTAAATTCCATTATCCAGTTGCTGTTCCTGATACTTATACTAAGTTTATAGATATACTCGCGTAATGCTTTCCAGTCTTTTATATATTCTAATTTTATTAAAATTTCTACCGGTATACTATCTACTGATGTTTATATAAGTGTTTATTGCTTGTTACCTACCAATCTCTAGCTAATTCATAACGTATGTAGTGTGTTGTGTTATATACATCTATAAATATGAGTGTATGGGAAACTTCTCGGTCTCAGACGAGGCTTTGTAAATTGAACCGGCAGCATTACAAGAAAGTACGATAAGTATACTGATAGCATACAGGAAAGAAAGTAACGATAAGTGTATACTGAAAGTATACAGGAAAGAAAGTAACTATAAGTGTTTACTGAAAGTATACAGGAAAGAAAGTAACGATAAGTAATACCGAATGTAAATATGTCTGCGAGATTAAACTGTTATCTCCCATGTTCATGTTACAAGGTAAACACCAGCAATGCTTCATAGTGAGGAACATATAACACTAAAGTATTACCTCTCTTGATGTTATCTCTAGTGATATTATCATAGTTCTGTCGGTAATTACATATTTGTTATAACCTATTCGTTGCTAAAGGAACAAAACCATGCTGGCGGTGCCCCGTCTTCAGTAATTATATCGTATATGTTAAAATTTGTAACGGTTGTAATACTACCTCTATTAATTAATTAATTCATTCATTTCATTAATTCACCTTTCTTCGAAGATTTTGTGTGTGTGTGTGTGTGTGTGCTCACCTAATTGTGGTTGCAGGGTTCGATTCACAGCTCCTGACCCCGCCTCTTCACTGGTCTCTACTAGGTCACTCTTCCTGCTCTATGAGTTTTATCATACCTCTTCGTACCTGTGTGTGTGTGTGTGTGTGTGTGTGTGTGTGTGTGTGTTGAGAATGAGGTCTACACTCAGATCATTTACTGGTCCAGCATCTGCAGTTGTCTGCCCTCCCAGATGCTTCGCTGTTCCTGTCAGCGTTTCCCTCATTATTACATTTACAAAAAAACAATATGCAGCGGTGAATATATTTTACGCGCATTTACATACTAGTTTAAACTTGGTGCTACTGAGCAATTCATTGCTTTTACTTATTTGCATATACCTATAATACTGTACTCACTGTATTATTCTTGTAGTTTATTGCTGTAATGTTCCATTCATCGCTTATCAGCTTCGTGCCAGTGTGTGTGTGTGTGTGTGTGTGTGTGTGTGTGTGTGTGTGTGTGTGTGTGTGTGTGTGTGTGTGTGTGTGTGTGTTGTGTGTTGACTTACATATGTGTAGTTGCAGGGGTCGAGTCACAGCTGACCCCGCCTCTTCTTTAGTCGTATGTGTGTGTTTGTATTCACAGTTGTGTTTGCAAGGGGGGAGAGACTTCGATAATGATCCCACCTATTTATCCATCTCGACAAACCTTCACTTGATTCGGTCTTGCGGCATCATGCCTATAGTTAAAGTTGTGCATAGAGTTTGTCTACGCAACCTCATCAAGATAATTACATTTTTCTGCCACCCTCCGAATGAAAAAAATACTTTCCACCAGTCCCTAAGGCATCATATGTGCATTTTGTTTCTACCCGACATTTCGTTCCTGGTTCCTGCTCCACCAACAATCTGTCCCTTTCTTCCCTGTCACTTCCACTTGGATTATCCTCGTGAACCCTCATCTCCTCCATGGTCGTCTGGTTCGCTTCTTTTAGTCTCCCATCAACTAATTTATCTTACCACTAGGACAAGTCTCATTTCAAACTTTTAGACGTTTTTTAGTTTTTGTTCGTGCATCGTGAGGTGGGAGGTGCACGCTGGGGGTGCATACATTATGATTTGAATATGCCGTGAAGGATTCTTTGTCACTCCCCGATTGCTGCAGGTCTCGCATAGTGTGTCGAAGCTCCACTGTTTGTAGTCCTCTGGCGATATGTTTAATGTGAGGCTGACTCCCAGTTTCACAACACCCAGATTGTACTGTCACAGGTTCACATACCACTCAGACCGTACACTGTCACATATTCACACATCACCCAGACTGTACACCGTCACAGGCTCTCACTCTACCCTGACTGTATGTCAGTGGTGTTGTGTACTTGCATAGTACACTTAGATAATCCCAGCTATTTATAGTAAGGGTCCCTTTAGCTGTGACGTCACGAGACCCCTCAGGAGATATTGAAATAAGTAATGTCTTGGAGGCGTGTAAATAAGAGATCACAGGCCTTACCTTCCAGTCTGTGCCTAGCAAGGAACTGAGGGAGAGGCCTGTAGCTGGCCGCACACATGCGAGGGGTCTCGTGACGTCACTGCTAGAAGGGACCCTTACTATAAATAGCTGGGATTGTCTAAGTGTACTACACAAATACACAGCAACACTACTGACATGTAAAGCACACCATCTCCAGCCCATCAAAACTGTAAGCATTATGTATATTTTCTGATGAAATAAACATGTCTGCTAAATAACAACGGATTGAACCAGATAAGTAGTAAATACAGTAGTGTAACCACTTTACTGCCTGCTACACAACAACATTGGGGCCGCTATAATAACTTACTAATTTTTCACAGTGAACACTACATAACGTTTGCTGGATTATCTCCACTGTAGTAGTTCTTGCTGTGATAACTTAGATAATCCCGAGTTTCTGTTTTGGCATGCCTTAGTTAGCCGTGACGTTAGAGTGTATATACTTAATAACAGTACATGGATGCTCCCTGTTAGCCGCTAGGCTTACGACAGTACACGGAACGTACCTAAGCCTCGTAGTGCAGTTCATCCAGAGCATTAAGACGGTAGAGTCTTTCCTTAAGCTCTCACAACCCGACCCAGACGTACTGTGTTTTTAATTTCCTATATTGCGCTCAAATAGCATGTCCAGATTTCATATACCAGTTTAACCTTTACTAACTTTCAAATATGCAGGATTGACAACTAAGGTTTAAAAATTAACGTAAACAATCAAAAGCATGGATGTAGAAAATGGTAAGCTTTAAAAATTATATAAAGCAATTAAATTAAGCTAGTAAAGTTAGGTCTCTAAGTTACCTTTAATCATAAACTCCCCCACCTAGTTACCTGTAATACTCCCCCATCCTCCAACTCGGCTTTCTCCGTTGTTTAGTATCAACTGCGGAATATGGAGGAAGTGAAAGAACAGGAAGGGAAAAGAGAGGGGAGAGGGAGAGGGGCAGAGGCAGCAGCAGTAGCGTGTGTGGGGTGATACAGGAGTAAGAGGCAGGGCACATGATAGAGAGGCAATATACCTGCGAACTTGTCAAGGAGAAGCAGCAGCTCTGAGCGGCAGGCCAATTGGAAACTTGCGAGCTTCCCAAAGTTGGAAAATTGCGTCTTGGACGAATCTTAGTTTGGCGCGAGTTGTGAGAATTAGCAGCGAGGGTAGAGCAAGGTGTTGAGTGTATCATGCTTAGCTGACTGACGCACAACACTCTCATGATCGATATGTACCAACACATTCTTATTCACCAACTCCATTTCCTCTTCAACACATACCAGATTTGTCTCGTCGACTCTTTGTGGTGTGATATTTGAGAACTTAGCGGTTAGCAGTCACGTATTTATTTTGTATATTTGGTTTTGTTGAAGAAAAAATCCACAGAGAAGTGTTATATAGTTTAAAAATCCCGCCACATCCCGGTGGGTTGGGGGCCATTGCGTATCGTGCTGGTAAGTTGACGTTGCATGTTTACCCATCTTCTCTTATATTCTGCCCTCGCTCATGCACCCTGGCTACCTAGTCAACATTTATCATATCCACTTCTAGAATTTGTTAATTAATTTAGTTTCAGCGTTTCTTGTTTGAGTTACATGACGATATTGATCGGAAACTTGAGGCGAGTGTTTGACAGGGTTGGTGTTGTGGGAGGTTGTGGTTGGCGGCGCTAGATGGCACCACCAACCGATCAATCCGCCGCGTCCGCGTGCGCCAACATGACGGTTTTAACCTCATATTTTGTCTTGTCATCATAATATTTCGCAGTACACATGGTTTTTCCAACCTTTTTTCTTGAGATAATATTGAACAATAAATTACATAGGTCCACCTTCTCCCGGAAGTGAGTGTGTCAGCAGAAAGAATATTTGGAGAATAAATGTGGTTTTGAGTGAGGTCGTGCACGTTCCATGCGAGGAGCGATGTAGTTGCAGTGTTGTCGGCACAGCCAAACTCCCATGGTGTGTGTGTGCTGGTGAGCGTTGTCGCAATAACATCAACTCACAGTGATTGACCAGTGATTAATTGTGTAGTGGCCTCAGCACCTTTGGATAACGTTAGTTCTCTCTACCAGATCATTACGAAGGACGTCTGCACATATTCTCGAAGAGGTAAGAGTCTTCCTATTCCAGGATTGAGGCGTGGGGGGCGGGAACGGGAATGTTGGCCGAGGTTGGAATGGTAACGTGATACACTCAGAATGGCTCATGACCCACAAGTTATTTGAATGGCAACCAGGGTAGCGCGGAATGTGTTGAGAATTACGCTCAATGGAATTGAATTAGAGAATAGTGATGAAGACGTCACCTGAGGGTTTGTTGATATCCGAGACATCGACCAAGGAAGTCACAGAAGGGGAGTGAATCATGACCTGGAGTATTCTTTATTGATGGACCACATTTCTGGACCCCCTATATTTTTTTCTCTCTCTCTTACTCTATATGCTATCCAAATACGATTTTTTTCAACTTGAATCTGTTGTTTTTAGCTTTATCTCTGGTCAGACACCCTCAGAATCACTTTTGTCTTCTATTTATAATATACCTATCTTCCACTTGTATATCTCAACCATATCTCCCCTCATTCTTCGCCTTGCAAAAGTGTAGAGTCAGGAATTTGAATCACACACACAAACACACACACTGAGACTGAAGCAGAAAAGATATAAAACGAACACTGGTAATTTTTTATAAAATACACTATATATATATATATATATATATATATATATATATATATATATATATATATATATATATATATATGTGTGTGTGTGTGTGTGTGTGTGTTTGTGTGTGTGTTTGTGTGTGTGTGTGTGTGCTACCATTTTGTCCTAGGCACATGTCGATTAGACACTAGGCCTGTTGTATATGAGTACGTGTGTGTGTGTGTGTGTGTGTGTGTGTGTGTGTGTGTGTGTGTGTGTGTGTGTGTGTGTGTGTGTGTGTGTGTGTGTGTGTGTATGAGTGTGTGTGTGTGTATGAGGTGTGTGTGTGTGTGTCTGTGTGTGTGTGTGTGTGTGTGTGTGTCTGTGTGTGTCTGTGTGTGTGTAAAAACACAGTCCAATGTTTATACTCACATAAATTTAATAAGTGATATAATATTTACAGGGAGAGGTGTATATATACACTTATTGTATATATTTTTAGAGTATATATGAATCCCTATTTTAAGAGAGAATATATACTTGATGTATAAAGGTGTATTGTGTACTGCTGTCTTGTGACTAGGAAGTTCAGTCCTTCCCACTGATTGTAATGATGTACATAGTGACGTAATGACTCACGTGCAGTGACGTAATGACCCACGTGCAGTGACGTAATGATCCAAATGCAGCGACGTAATAACCCACATGCAGTGACGTAATGACCCACGTGCAGTGACGTAATGATCCACGTGCGATGAAGTAATGATCCACGTTCAGTGACGTAAAAATCCCCGTACACAAACGTAATGACTCGTGCAGTGGTCGTTATGATTCACGTACAGTGCTTTTAATGACTCGCGTGTTGTGGTTATGACTCGCATGTAGTGATTATGACTCACGTGCAGTGGTTATAATGACTCATGTGCTTTGGCCGTTATGACTCACGTGCAGTAGTTGTAGTGGCTCACGTGCAGTGGTATTGACTCAAGCGCAGTGGTCGTTACGACTCACGTGCAGTGGTCGTTGACTTACGTGCAGTGGTTACTACTCACGTGCAGTGGTGGTTTGACTTACGTGCAGTGGTTATGACTCACGCGCAGTGGTCGTTATGACTCACGTGTAGTGGTCATGGCTCATGCGTAGTGGTCGTTATGACTCACGTGTAGTGGTCGTTATGACTCACGTGCAGTGGTTGTTATAACGTAATTGCAGTGGTCGTTATGACTTAATTGCAGTTGTCTTGTGATTCACGTCCAGTGGTTATGACTCGCGTGCAGTGGTCATTATGACTCACGGGCAGTGGTTATGACTCACGTGCAGTGGACATGACTCACGTGTAGTGGTTATGACTCACGTGCAATAGTTATGAATCACTTGCAGTGGTTATTACTCACGTACAGTGGTTATGACTCAGGTGTAGTGGTTGACTCACGTGCAGTGGTTATGACTCACGTACAGTGGTTATGACTCACGTGCAGTGGTTATGACTCACGTGCAGTGGTTATTACTCACGTACAGCGGTTATTACTCACGTACAGTGGTTATGACTCACGTGCAGTGGTTATGACTCACGTGCAGTGGTTATTACTCACGTACAGTGGTTATGACTCACGTGCAGTGGTTATGACTCAGGTGCGGTGGTTATGACTCACGTGCATGATGGATTTCATACCAAACACGTCAAAATCGCCTCTCCACTTCTATCAAGACTTTGGGACTAAACACCTTACAGCGTCTACTTCGTCAACTATCTCTAGTATATTAGTAACCTGTGTATCCGACTGAAGAAGCCTGATGTGCAGGCGAAACGTTTCGGCAATAAAGACATCCAAGTGTTGCACACGTGTCTTATTCACTTGACAGTTTAATTGCTATGGTTTGCTTGCTGCCAAAACGTAGATGAGATGAATCACAGTTCGCGGACATTACAGATTTCCCGGTAGCAGTACTCAGCAAGCTGGTAAAAAATATTGAAGTCTTTTAGAGCGTGATGGCCGAGTGGTTAGTGTTTCGGACTGTCACCTGATACACCTGTTTGAATCCCCGTAAAACGTATACTGTATCTTAATTTGCAATTTAATTGGAGTGGATGATAATTAACACAGCTTGATAACACGTTGGAAAATTTTGTTGAAAATATTGACTGGACAAAATCATGTTAATAAAAATGTTTTGATTGACATATGTAATACATGTTATAGGTAAGGATACATGTGCGGCTCTAAATTGTGGCCTGAGTTGTGCAGCCTCGAAACATATAGTGAATAATATATTAATTACAAAATTTTGAAATTTGGTAAAAATCGGGTGATTTACCTATTTGATAATATCAGGAGGAACCTCTTAAATTGTGTTAATAGTAATTTACCTGTTTGATAATATCAGGAAGAAGCCCTTATATTCTGTTAATAGTGATTTTAGTTATACAACCTAACCATCGAAATGCTCGGATAAATTAATTAATTAAAATCCACAAAGCAAATAATTTGCTTAAGCCTATAATTAGTTCCACGGCCGTGTTGAATACAAATAATATATGTAACATATCTTGAAGCCAGGTAGTATGTATAGTTTCCTTCCAGTTGTAGTAATGATATAAATATAGCTAGCTTTGATTTAGCATCATTATTTATAAGAATCCTTGTTGATGACTTATTAAATTTTCTTTCTGATGAACTATGCAATTATAACTTACCATGGAACTCGTTAAACTCTGTATTATCGATGTAAAGTTTGTGTTTAATGATGAGTTTTGCGTTCAAAATTTTCTTATGGCAATGGGAAATCTTAACTCAGTACTTATTATTTATACATAGGATTTTTAACAATCATAGTAATGTATGGAATTGTTCCCCATATGACACTGATAAGTGTGTGATAAGTGACAAAGTGTGTGACACTGATAAGTGTGTGATGTGTAATGTTTTTGGTCCAAGAAATAGAGATTTCAGTGTTTCAACTTGAATATTCTAGCTTCTTCCATAAAATTTACTGTTAAGTCTGAACAGAATAGCTCACTAACATTTCTAAATATTTCATATATTAAACAGCTAGGAATTCAAATTAAAAATATTTAGAAAACCAACCAGTGTCTGTTTGTAAATACACTATTATTCGTCACACCATGACTGTGCAGCATTCGTTGTTCTCCATGTACTTAAAAGTTTTGTGCGTTTGTTGCCCAGGCTTCATAGAGAAGAAAATGATGGAAATATGTGAAACAGAATATAACCTCAGATATCCAAAAAGATTTATTAGTAAATTATACAAAACTGCTAAGAACACAAAAAAAAATCAAGAAAGCGTACTTAACCAAGATTGCATTTGTTCTTCTGAATCTCGTATACTTTCTTAAAATTCCTATTTTATTGAGAAATTTTACCGTCCGAGTTATATTGAAAAATCCAAATGTCATAAACAAATCTTGATAAGCTTGTTGCTTATAAGATCTTTTGTGCAAAACATGAAAAGTGCATTTAGGGCAGACGTAAAAAATTTAATTAAAATTACAACACCACAAAATGTAGCATTAAAGTTTGTGAGTCGAGCGTAAGAGATTTTAATCATACTAGTGTTTGGTTAAAAATAAGAAAACTGTTACACGGAAATCAGTGGTCGAATGCAGATAGACTCGGGTTCTGTATAAAAAAATAATGATTGCAATGTGAGCGTAAGTCCAGGATTTCATAAGCGAGGTGCGTTTATGACATCTGTGAGAAATTTAAGATATAGTGATAATATCAAATCACTTTATCTGTTACTCTCGATCTCACATAAATTTTAGGTTAATATTTATCTCAGGTCTATGAGTGAGGTATTACTCATCAGATTTTGTTGTTAGGTCCCATTGTGAGGCGCATCTAAATCTGGTGCGTCCTAGATGCAGCTGACTTTGTCATATCAGGCTCACGTGTGATTTGAACTTTCCTGCACATCCTGGAGAGAACAAGTGATTTAGTATGATCATTGACTCAGTCTCCCTTGTCTTAAAAGTTCTAGATATCCATCTTATCATTGTTGTGGTCCTTGCACACCAGACACTGCTGAAATTTACTACTTATAGATAAAGTGATTGAGAGATCTTGATATCACACATGTGCTTAAAAATAGTAAAATTAGCACACGTCTTAACGATTGTGAAGTTTACACACACACACACACACACACACACACACACACACACACACACACACACACACACACACACACACACACACACACACACACACACACATTTTATTTTATTACTCTGGAGCAGAGTAATAAAATACACCATTGCTAACTGTAGACAAATAGTGAGCTACTTCAGTCAGTCCTCTAGCCTGCAGTAAACTAGACACAGCAAAAACAAAATGAACCTCCTAAGCTCAAGCTCATTCATGTACCTACCCACTGTAGTAGCACCTATTTAATGTTAGGTCGCATCTGTAAAAAAAAATCGTTACAGTATATTAGATACACATC